ACATTTGGCAAGTTCATTAGCAATTCTGGGAATAATAAAAAAAAATGTAAAAAAAAAAAAAAAAAAAAAAACAGTAAGTGGAGAGAAAGCATTCACACATTAACTCACTTCTCCTGCTGGATAACGTGCTCCAACCGAGGGATCATCTGGTCTGGCGAAAGCGGACCAAAGCGGAACCTGGTGCAGCGAGATTGCAGGGCGGGGATGATCTTGGAAAGGTAGTTGCAAATGAGACAGAATCGAGTGTTTTCTGTGAACTTCTCAATGACTGAGACAGAGAGCAAGGGTGGGATGAAAGCAGGGAAACAAGTTTAAAATGTAAATTCTGGCAACATCTTAGTAAATAAAAAAAAACTCCACTTTTTTGAATAATCTATCCTAAGGACTTGCTTAATATTGCTAAGATTGTGCAGGACACTCGTAAATCATCTCACTGAGAATTTAGAATTGACAGTAATATACCAATAATATCATCCACTCTTCCTTCACCATGCATCTATTTAGAAATATAAAACTGCACTGAGCAGCAATAGATGCTTTATAAATGAAATATGGAAACATTATTAGAAAAACACAGGTTGGACTAAATTTACAAAATATCTCACAGTTAAATTCAATCATTATTTCCACTCTTCTGCAAAAAGTGTAAAGCTTTTTAAATAAATATCCAGGTTTAAAAGTAGATACACTGTAAGTCAGCAGCAGCCAAATTGCCTGCTCACTGAGCCGTGTGCCTCACAGTGGGTAATGCCTGAACGAACAGATGGCTTACCTCGACGCAATGCATTCTGGGCATCCTGGGTCATGGCATCGGCCTCGTCCAGTATCACCAACTTGAAGCCCTTCCTGAAGGACAAGATATATAAAAAAACAAAGGCAGCAGCTTACATTTCCATTGCACTTCTTAACTGCACATAAAAGTATTGAGAACACTTATTTCTGGTCAAAATCTCTACAAGTATAAGTGTTTTAGTCTTACTTGAAGATGGTCCTGGTGCTGGCAAAACTCAGAATGGGACCTCGTACTACATCAATACCTCTGTCATCAGATGCATTGAGCTATAAACCAAAATTAGTTATATTTTAATGTAAAATGGCAGAGTTACAAGTTAAAAAACCTTTACAATTCAGCAAACCCAAATCTTCTAATGAGGAGTTGTAACATACCTCCAACACCATAGAGTTGAACTCCTTCTCTTTGTACAGCTGCCTGGCACAAGCGAGTATGGTTGAGGTTTTTCCTGTTCCAGGTGGGCCATAGAACAAAAGGTGTGGAAGCTTGTCCTCACTGATAAACCTTTGGACTGGAAATAAAAAGAACAAATGAAAATCAGTTTAAATACAAGTAACCAACATTTCTTTAACAATCCACATATGCCC